ACTCTCCATCCTTTCCTAGATCCGCCGAGTCTCCGGTTCGCATTTACCCTTATCCTTTCCCTATATCCTTGACCCCCGCCCCCCTCGCACATGAGGAATTGAATGGGTCGTAATTTATATTTTTAATTTGTAAAGCTTTCGGTGATTACTCAAAGTCAATGCTGTTTAGCTAAAAACACTTGATTATATTGTAACGCATTACATATTACACATTCATAATATAGAAAAAAATAATATAAAAATTAATAAAAAAACTATATTATGTATAAACAAATAACATATAGATTAATAACAATAATAATAAAAAAATATATAAAACAAAAGAATTAAAAAAAAAGATTAGATAGAAAATGGACGTTCCATTTATTCCTCTCCTGTTAAGTATTATAATGATGTTCAATGTGCAATGCAATTTTATTTTTATTGTAATTATAAATGTGTATCGTATTTTTAATACGATCTTATAAATTGTGTAGACGTATATTTCGTTTATGTTTTGTGTCGTGTATTTGTCATTTTTTTTGTGTTCTGTTTCAGGTACCTAGATCATAGTATTTCCTGCTTTCCTAAATTTCCTAAATTTCCCTATTTTCTTTTTAATTCAGAATGAGAACAGCGATTTCCACGTGACCGCATGTCCAGGTGCAATAGGTATATTATCTTCTTTAGAAGATGATAACCAGGTATCAAATCAATCGCAAAACATAGCCTCTGAATTGATTCAAGACCGTTTCGCATTTAACTTTCACGAGGTTGCACCTGTTTCATACAGAATATGCTACGGATCTTGTTTTAATTCACTAGATTTATCATACGCTGGTTTGTCTATGGGATTAAAATGAATTTCATCAGTTATACACGTACACATGTTTCGCCTATTAAATTCTTACACAATTAATGTCTCCCGACCTTGTCCTATTCTCTCCATTTATCATCCTCCAATAACTCTTTTTTTGGTTTTTTTTCCACACATGCCGACATGTAAAAAATGTTGCTCTATGTGCAAGATTTTCGTTTCAAGTGCGAGAATATTCTGATTCATATTTGGTGTTAACGATAGGTTGTTTAGGGGTACAGAAAGAAAATAGTTATTATGTTAGAAAAACATATTATTAATTAATATCTAAATTAATAATATTTTATCTGGTACTTTATTTCAATTGATAAAGGGTGTCCCAAAATTAACGCAAAATTTTAGTCTTCAGATTGTGATTATTTATAACTGTGTTTTCTATTTAATTCAAATCTTGCGTTACTTTAAGAAGCGTTCAACCATGATGACATACATCTTCATTTGCAATGTATCGCCATTATATTAGCTAGTAATTGAACCCTTAGTTGTAATAATAACACATTAATTTAGATTAATTTTCTGTTTTCGATTTTATTGATAATAATAATAATAAATTAATTTAATTTTATAAAATGGATATGTTTAAAAATTTCATTAAACATAGATATGCGTTAGTTATCAAGAAATACGTTAAAATATACTGGTTCTTCGAGGCTTAATTCCTTGTTATATATTTGATAGCCAAATATAAGAAAACGATGAATGTATATACTAGCCTGAAGATCAGTAATTAGTTGTTTCAGTTTATACAACTTATTATACGAATATCTCTATTATGACCACATAACTATTTTTATATAAAAGAATAAATATATAAACTATATTAGATTTAGTGTGTACTTTCATGTTATCACTGTCCTCAAATTATGTGACCACCAATTATTGTTATTGGCATTGAATCTTGAATGTGTGTTGGCGTGACTTTGGTTGATTTTTACATTTTCTTTTTTAATTAATTCTGTTTTATATAGAAAATTAAAATCGTCCTGTTTGTTTTATGTTCGCGAACGCCGGTATTAGTACGTAGGATTAGATTATAAATATAACAATAAAATTTGATGTGCATGTAGTAATCCAGGTTTTCCTCGGATAATAAGGGGAATGTCGGGTATAAAATGTGTGTGTGTTATGCAAAATAACGAGGGAAAATCTGGCGAGGCGGAGGCGCCGGGTAGAGGAAAATGTATAAAGTGCACATTGCATATTAATAACGTTCGCAGCCGTAAGGGTGGAGGGTGAAAATGAGAAGGACGATTGGGAGCAGTAGTGCGCGAGAAAGTGAGATGGAATTTGCGAAATGAATCCTCCGTCTGAACTCGCTATCATGGCTGATAATGGGGCCGGGGGATTTTTATCGTTGAATGCCGTACGCCGATTGGTCGAAGCCACCGCCGCCCCCCCAACGCTCACCGACCTCATTGCTGACGGCCGCCCCCAGGAAAATTGGCTCACGCTAAAAACATAAAATATTCCAACACCCAAACTCATCCCAATCCCCGACGCTTTTCACTAGAGCAGCAAAAAAAAAATATATATCCGAGCATATAATAGGTAATTTAAAATACATGGAATAAGAACTATTAACATCCATATCGAGGAGACACGGGGGCCGCCATGATTGTACCATATAAAGTAAATAAGAGAAAATCCCATTAACTTTTTTTTCTCTCTCTCTCTCTCTCTGCATGTGTCGGCTTTTTGTTTTCCCTTCCTACTCCACCATTCGGAGCGATCGTTTTTGCCTTCGCAGCGGAAATTTATCGGCGCCCATTTATTTCAGGCAGTAGATTACATGCATATAAACGCTCCAGCTTTTCCAATGTAGAAACGACGGGGGTGAAGCGGAGTTCCCTTCTGCACATTTTCGCAACTCGATTCATTTTCCACTACGCTCTCATTTTATTCTCATTTTTATTTTACGTAAACTGAATTCCTCTTTTTTTCTTCATCGATTATCCACAGAATATTTTAATTTGTATCTTCATAATTTCCTTTGTCTTCTACATGTGAAACATATTCATTTTTTTTTCACTATCGCAAATTAAATTCAAATTATTTCAATTCAGACAATATTACTTCTGACAATAGTTAATATTTGTTAATATATTTATGTACTTTTCTAAAAAAAAGATATTATATAATATTTTACGGGTGGAAAGCCCTTTGCAACAGTTAATGTTTTTTTTTTTAATTATATAATACCTTTAATTTTTAAATGTAAATAAGTTTTTTGATCAAAATTGACTAATAAATTTTATAAATAATTAATATTTTCATTGGAGTTGTTACATTAATCATTCGTACTTATCGAGGTTAATTAATAATTTTAATTCGTCTTTTGAATCCGCATCATAATTTCAAGAATTCATCCCGAAAACATAAAATATTGTGTGTGTATGTGTTTGGATAAGTATAATTACAAGAAGTAGAATGATTTCATATATTTTGTGTTTTTATATAGTTTATTGTGGCCATTTATTTACACTTATTATTACTTGCACGTTAGAAATGATCATCACTGGTTTCGTTCTTAAGTTCGAAGACATATATATTTATATAAAATGAAAAAAAAATATACTATATACAAAATTATAGTTAAATCAAACCTAAAGCTACGTTTACTTATTATTACATATTTATAAAATGTTCACATCTAATTTTCTGAAACAATCGCTATTTACTAAAAACTATTTACAAAATTATAGTTTTATTCATTTAAAAACGTTACATACAATTATTCTAATATTGCACATATAGATTCGCTTATTTACATAACAATCTAAATTGATTCACATATTCCTTTTAGATTCATCCCCATGCGCCGTTAATTAGTTAACATTATTGAATTTTACAAATCAAGCAAAGTTAAAATGTTAAAATATTTATTATATTAAAACGCTTTATAGCTAAGTTCGGTTTCGATCAGTCCGAATTTACTATTGAAAATGTTAAAACAATTTAAATATTAATTAAGCAAAATAAAAATAAATTCTAAATAAATAGTACACTAAATTATTGTTTTACACATAAATTATAGTATTTTTCTATTTATACAGTCAAACATCTTTTTGTGCAGTTTTAAAGTTCTGAATAAATCTGGTGTCAAATAGGATATTGGTGGAACTGACTGACAATTAAAAAACGGGCAAACAAATAATAATTGGTTGTTGTTCTTCATTAAGTTAATTATTTAACAGGTAAATGTCTGTTTAAAAAATAATTGTCAGGTACTTAATAGCTTATCTAGAATTCCTTGCCCAATCTTCTTTTCCATTCCTTTAATTTCAATTAAATTCATGTTTCCTTTTTGTAGTTTATCTATCTATTGTAATATTCGTTCATTTATCTAAACTACATATTTCCCGCATAAAGGTGAGCGCTCGACGTTCTTTTAGGATTCAGATTTGTAAGGTTTGAATAATTTGGGTTTGTCTTGGGTTATGTGCGTCGACGGCGGCAACGGGGGTGGCGAGGCGCTGGTGAGTGCGGGGGCGGCGGCCGTCGTCGTCGCATGCAGCTTCGTGGCAGGGATCAATAGGCCTTCGGGCGCCGGACTGAGGCTGATCTCAGAGGCTGCTGAGGCGGGAGAGGCGCGCGGCGATATTTTCGGATATCCGTGGAAGTCGAGGCCCAGGTTCAGGTTGAGTCCTTGGACGGCGAGCTGCGATGGATGCGGAGGAGGCGGCGGTGGTTGAGGGATCACATGGTTAAGCATCGCGGCTGCAGCAGCAGCCGCTGAATTCGGGAGCGGTCCGTGCGTCTGGAGGCCGCCGAACGTCTGATAAGGATGATACCGTGCGTGGTAATGGGGTGGATAGACGTGCGGTGGAGGCGGCGGGTAGTGTAACGGTAACGTCGAAGCTGCCGCTTGCAACAAGGATGCCGCAAATGCCGGATCAGTGTAAACCGCTGCATATGGCCACGCTATTGCCATCCGTTGTCTCTTATCCTTCATCCTCCTGTTTTGAAACCATACCTATTCAAGAAAATTATATTAGATTATTTGAAAGCTAAAACCAGCATCGTCATTTGGATTTTGAAGCCTCGATAACACAAATATACAGTGGGGCCCGCAGTAAATTAAAAAAGAAATATATTGTGGAGAAACTTGAACTGAATTTTGTTTTGGGAGCCCGGGTATTCGCCCGGTTAAAACACTACTGCTTAAAACAATAACAATATTTACATAAAATTATCCATTTATTAAAGTACTATTGCTGCAGTGTTTTTCATTTTGTCAAAATATGATAACTTTTGTTATTTCTAAATTATGTATAAATACGTTTCTTTGATTTATATTAAGAATTAAAAGAAATATTAATGAGTGGAACACAATATTGTTAATTAATTGTTTAAATATAATCAAATTTCTGGTTTTTTTTAATACGCCAAATTGACGGATGTATATTTTCAACGTTGATTGCTCTAATATTATAAACTTAGTCCAAATTTGTCCAATCGACTATATCTATATAAGTAGTTCTATCTTTGGTTACATTTTAAAAAAAAATTATTTTTAAAAATTCTGGATAAATGAAACCAATAAAACATTGACAAATTTATTTAACAAATTTCATTTAAAAATGTATGTATGTCCTAATGATGGAACAAAATATAAAGATATAAGAATAATGACAAAATCGTGCCATGTAGAAGACCACTTATGCCGCATTCGCTATACCATTTATTTTTCCTTTTTAATTTAATTACGTTTAATTATCGCCGTGTAATTCGTCAATAACAATAAAGTATTAAGTGCGCACAGCAGAGGCGAGAGTAATAAGTAAAACAGAAAACTGCGAGCATCGTTTCATTAATTTTGCTCGAACTTTAATGCCTTTCGCATCTATTATTGTTTACTCTTCTTTTTATTCCTTCCTTCTGCAAACATGCTTTATTTCGAATACTTTTATCACTAGCAATTTGCATTTTTACCGTACGTCCTTTTTCTTCGTTTCTTTTCTTAACTGCCTTCGCAATCATCGCCGATTTCTCGGTCTCGACAAAAGATAATATGAATCGGTTATTGGAGAAACCAAAATAAACTTTTGTTCCGTTTAAATATTGTTAAGGTTTATCTATATATAATATTAATTGTGCAACAGTTAATTAATTGTCACAATAGAATATTTCGTTGTAAATCTTACCTTTATCGTAGATTCGGGTAGGTTAAGTTGGGCAGCCAGCTCACACCTTCTCGGTCTCGAGACGTAATTTTCCTTAAAGAACTCTTTCTCCAAACGCGCCAATTGATCACGGGTGAATGCTGTTCGGTATCTCCTGATGTTCGGATCATTCTGGTTCATCGACGATGACGATGAATTCAATTTAGAATCTGGAGACTCGGATCGATGGCATTCTGAAACAAACAAAAAGTATATTTTTATAACAGTAATAGTAGCAACACTATGCTATTGTCTGGATACTGTGAGACATGATTTGACATTGCGCCATTTAAGATGTCAGAGGATTGAGACGGAAGTAGGAAAGGGGAGTCTAGACTTTTGTTTCTTTCCGTGATCTGGGCCCCCATTTAAGTGCTCTTGTTCTAAGCTTTTTTTTTAAGTATCTTGAAGAGTGGATGCGGCGGCGCGCGCGACACATGTCCTCTTCATTTTCACGTCATCTTCGGCCACTGTTTGAGTTCCTCGACTAATTGAAGACCCATTAGTGGCTTCCGAATACCGCAACGTATGGGAACAAGACAGGGAGACAACCAGTGTCGCCCCCGCGCCACCCTTAAATGTGTTCCACCACTTCAAAAACCACTTCCTAATTGTACAAAACTAGAAAAATTACATAAAAAAATTAAGGAAAACATAACAGGGCCATAAATCTTCCCTTGATTAAAACATCCTCAAATCTGCTATTTACATTGATACTCTTACGCCAATAATTGATTATATAATTTTATGAAAAGTGACAACATTCATATTATCTGCATCAAAACTTCTTGATTTATTTTTATATGTAATAATAACAACGATATTGCATACTTGCGCTTATATTATCAATCCAGGACCGCATTGAGGTTTAAGTCCTGGGACCAGTTGAGTAATCTAATTTAAATGTTTTAAAAAATAATGAATAGATTTTCAATTTGAGAGTGAATTCTGATTCAACTAACCCTTTGTGAATACTCAAAAGTCTCGTGAGCCCTAGACACTGCTTAGTGTTTCTAATAAATAAAACGGCTCTAAAAATCTTCCATCTTAAATATATAATTTACAATTTTAATATATTGATTAGTTAACATGAAGTGAAAATATATAATTTTTAAGCAAAATAGTTTCAGTAGTGATACACTTTCAGACAGTAAAATTTTACATGTTTTTTTCTTATAAATAAGACCACCAATCTAATGCATAATGCATGCAAATGAATATTAATCAAATAAATAATTATTTACAAAAATATTTTTAATGTTTTATTTCCAACTCACTAACAAATCAATTAAAATTATAACTAAATAAACAAATCCATTATATATACTCATTTTGATCTTCCGCAATTTGTCGATTTTAAAAGCAAGCATGAACAACTAAGAAAATGTATATATAACATATATATGTTTAATGTGACTTAGACTGTGGTCTATAATAAGAATTTAAATTAATTTAATGAGGAATTAAGTAAATTTTTACCTTTAAGATATTGTGAGTTAGATGGGTTCGGCGAATCGGGCGGACTGCTGTTTTGGCGGTTCTGGTGGAGGCTTTGGGTATAGTGGGGTGGCATGACGTCGAGAACGACGGGATTCTTGCCACTGTCCTGCTGGCCCTGGTGGTACAGCTTGAAGTTGTCCATCATCTCGTACACAAGTACATAAACTGGAAGACACGTACACGGTCACAGACACAGATACCGGAACCGGGAGAAGACAAAGATGATAACCGCGGAGAGATGACGACGAACGGTGTCCGGCAGTCGCGCATTAAATAACGAGTGCGGAAGGATCTGCAATCGCAGTCGTCGTTGACGTCGTCTGCCGTGGCGGAAGAAGATGCTAGTGATGATAGTGGTAGTGACGGTGGTGTTGGTGGTGGCGTCGACGGCGGTGGCGGCGACAGCAGCGGCGGACATGGAGGAGGTGGAAGGAGGACAAAAGAGGGACACCCGCGTTTAAGGATGTGGAAAAGTGGGTGGAGTTGTGATCGGTCCATCAGCGATGTTGGTTGGCTGCGGTGAAAGCGGCAGTGATTGGTGGCCACACCCCGGAGGTCCTTAGGCGGGGGCACCGTAAGGGCCTATTTGGCCCGGGCCAGTCCTTATCCCGTTGTTATTACCATGTCGGCTTGCATTAAATCCCAAAACGCTCTGGCCCTTTCTTAGCAGATCTCCAACTCTCTCGCACGCGCACCTCGCGACCATCTGGTGTCCCTTATTTTTATACACTCTACCCATCCTTCTCTCTCAGCTGGAGGTGAAGGAGAGACCTCGGGCGCCGGATTTCATTAAGCATTAAATTCAATTATTTAAGCGAAGGCTTTACGAGCTTCCCTCCTGCTGATCATAAATTCCACAGTTCATTTTTACTAACTGCACCGCCGCCGCCTCCGCCCGAACGGGCTTATACTTTTTTTCACTCTTTCACGTGGTCGTTTTCTCAGCATCTCGCTTTATTAAAGCACATCAGTGCTACTAAATTTACATTATTTTTGTTCGAAATAGTCTGAAACGTTTCCTGTAAATCACAAAGAATCTTCAATGTCTACTGTTTACAAAGTAACCAATATAATACAAATCAAATAACTTGTCACATTACGCAATATTCAAAAAACTTATGATACAATTCTATGATAAATCCATAGTAATGTAAAAATATAATGTTATTTTATAGTTTTCATTATTCGTGCAACATTAATAACCTTTCAACAATAAATACTCTTCAATAATAATATTAATTATAAATATATGGTTGATTAATTTATGTTACAATAATCTAATAAAATTACTGACATAATTGATCAAAAAAAGTCTCTGTAATTCTGTCCTGTTCTTACAATGCCTGCTATTTTTGTGTGTTTCAATTCATATTTCATTTCTATTATATTGGTCAGTTTGTTTATGTTTATTTATAAATAACATTTGTTTTCATTTATATTATAATTTATTTTCTATTGCTAGGTAATAATTTATTCGGTTATTTTATTATCTCTTTGCTTTATACTTTTTACTTTTGTAATTTTTTTACTTATTCTGACCAATAAATTATAATTATTATTTATTGATCAAATAAAACGGAAACAAAAACATGAGCAAATTTTGAATTATTTTTCAAGATTAATTTCCAATATGAATTAATATTATTTTAAGATAATAAAGTTTATTCTAGTTATTTTATATTATATTTTGTGACCAAGAAAATATTATAGTTATAATTACATGCACGTTTATTAAAATTATTATTTGGAGCACACTTGGCAAAAATATATAGTATAAATATCAAGTAAGGATTATTTTGATTTAGAAAAATTGTAAACCTCAAAAATCTTTGTATGTATTTAAAGTGTAACAAAACTTATTTACTAATACTAGAAAGTAAATAATTACAAATTTATTATAGTGTTTTCTAGAATAACATTCCCAAACACACTGAAAAACTTGAGTGTATGAATTAAACAGTCAATTTAATCGTGTAATCTGATTTTGTTATTGTTTTCGAGTGCGCGTTTGCCTTAGGATAGGGGACGATGGTTATTGGACTTTTATGTCGTCGATGTTCCTTTCAAACACCCCTCGTTTAATTGGTTTATAAATAGGTGCGCGTCGATCGCAGGTGGTTGTGTGTATTTCGGAGGGATTAACACTTCAGCACGCCACCGCCACCCGTCGCGCACACAAATCCCAATTGGGAAACGGGTGTCTCCCTAAACCCTAGGGCAGTGCGGGGGTTAGCGAGAACAGTTTATAATCTGAGCCCAATTAAACTCGTCGACGACATTAATAATTGAGTCGAGGGAATATAGAAAAAAAGGAGAGACAATTGCGATGGGGGACGAGCACGCACGTTAAATTGATTTCATGGTTGCGATTTATTTTATTTTATTTTTATTTATTTTTTTCTACTGACTTTTTTTTTAGTAAATCAATTTCATTTAATTAATTTCCGAACGGGGCGTGTTCCGTGTGATAGACTTATTGACTGTTATTTAGTTCCCCGATAAATCTGGGAGATCAGTTAATTTCGTGGAAACTTCGCAGCCGCAGGCCCCGGTGTTCGCCGCAGACTCACGACACACAAAACTAACTGAAATTTCCTTCACTTTTATTGGCTGTAAATTATTTGAAGAGAGATCCAACGCCGCCATCGAAACTACAATTTAATCCCTTCCAACGTTTATTTATTGCTTACACACAATATATACACAATTTGGTCTTGCTGTAAATAGCGAGTATAGAACATATACAGTGAGACCTTATATTGCTTGTATGCGAGTATTTTGCAAGACGAGCAAAATTTTTAATCAATTTTAATTTGATAAAAGAGCGAGATCTTGCAATACGATATCTCCTTAACACTGTCATTGTCCATCGACTCGGCTGAAGGTCCATGTGCTGAACCTCATTCATTTGTCTGTCCATCTGTGATGAATGATGGCCCTATTGCTGCAAGCACCGAGAGGGCTCACAAAGGGCATGGCTTGACCAGGATTCGAACCTGCGACCATGAAATCGTGGGTAGGGCGACTTGACCATTCGGCTATTAGTCGCCCCTATATTATCACATATAAAAAAAGTCATTATCTCTATATCCAAATTAAGCTATGGTTTTCCGAATTTTGACATCATTGATTTATACCAGCGGTCGGGGAACTTTTTTAACCATTACCCCAAAATATTTTTGCGTAAGTCGATATTAGCCCCCCCCCCC